TTAGTTTTTTATCCCTTTTTCTTAAATGTGTAAGCATAAAATAGTGTTTTCAAGATTTTAAAAAAGTACTTAATTGTATTTTAAGAATATTATCAACAAAAGAAAAAAGGACGTCACCATAACGCATTTTATATGTAATAATGTTCTGCTAACTTTTTCTCCTAATTGTAGTGCATTAAGGCAAATGTAGACAAAAAATAATGAAATATTTTCAGCCGTCTTCAACACGGTATTTGACGTACAACTTCATAAAAATGGCTGACATTTAAAAATGAGCACGTTGCCGCACATATTAGAGATATCGATGGAAAAGCGCATGACGTAAAAGGTGCTTACTGATATAAAATAAGACACATATATTTTTACCTGAACATGACAAGGAATACACGGCGGGTGTGACCAGTCGGGAGGGGAAGGTCACTCCTCCATGACACCTGATCCCACCTCTGATGCTTTTGGAGGTCGGTGTTTGCTTTGCTCCTGATTTGTATTGTCTAAATGGACTTTGAGCTTGAATACTCTTTGTTATCTCCATATTTCACATAAAATAGATTAAGTATAATGTTATTGTTTATGATGTCTTCTTGAACTTGACTGTAATAAATTGTAGGAAATTGATTGTAGATTTTCAAGATGCAAAAAGTGCCGTTAAAATCAGCATGGAGTTTCCCGAAGGTGACGGAGTTAAGGTAGTGACAGAGTTAGGGTATTTGGCGATATTTCGATATTTGGACTTTTGAGTTTGAATATTGTTTTCTATCGTTATATTTCATTTTGAAATCATAGATAGCTGCTTTTTCAATAAAAATGGAATTCGTAAATTTACTTATCTTGTCATTGGTCATTTGCAAAATACTTTTGTTAAAAACAATATTTAGGTCTCTCAGTTGATTTGATACGCAAGAGCATACTCTACGTACAAACAGTTTATAAAATGAGGCAAACTTTTGACAAATAAGTTGATTAAAGAAGAATATCAGCAGTTTAACGTTTAATTAAAGTTAAAATTTCGCAAATTCTATGTTCGATACAATGACTACATGGACTATGTTAACAAATACAATCTATCATTAAGTCGAATGTTGACTGATGTTTTTCAAACAATTTGTTAGGCCATAGTTTTCAATGAATGTCTACGAATTTTTTCGTTTGCCCGACTATGACAAGGAGCACACACCAGGTGTAAACGGTCGACAGGGGATGCGTACTCCTCCTTGGCACCCGATCCAACCTCGGATGTATTTAGAGATTCGTATTTGCTCTGCTCCAAATTTGTATTGTTTCAACTTCTGAACCGTTAAAATATAGTGATAAAACAATACATAGCGAGACGTGTAAGCGAAAAGTGGTCGTGAAAAGTGGCCGTGAAGTCCTTATTGACTCATCATTTAGATCAATCTTCAGATCCTATATAGCTTATATATCATTAGCCTACTTATCCCGTTGCTCTACAATTATACAAAGTTCAGCTTTACGATCACAGGGTACTCTTGTCAAGGATATCTTAAGGAGGTATCTTTGACTTATAATAATAAGGTCATGTACATGTAATATTTATTGCATATAAAGAGATCAGGATTACCCGCAAATCAAAAATGTACAGTTCTTAGGTGTTTAGCACATACCATCTAAAAAGAGTGTGCTTTTTAAAATTTGTCCTATTTCTATATTTATATTTAGCTGGAAGATGACCCTTTAACAGCTGATATCTTGACGGGGTTTTTTTCTTCTTCTATTAAGTAGAAACCTGTTTTATTTTTACAATGCAATACTGTTAATATCCTTCATTTTTCAGAAATTGAGATATATATGAATTAATCAATCTGTATATTGATATATTTTCTTTTGTCTTGCAATTGACATTCATTTCATTCTTTGTTTCATTTTTTTTTTTCTATAGCTACTGAATTAAAAAATAAGATTCCAAGTCAATGACCTTAAAGCAATATGAGCTGCATTTTTGAGAATTTTATTTTGCTGTTAAAATGTTATAATAAATCTTTATGTAATTTAATCCTTTATGATCAATAAGATTAAAGTAAAGTATTAAATTGTTTCAGAAGAAAGATATCAGTACAATTGAATGTACAGTATTTTATAAGAAATCAATATTGTACATGACGACAGTAATGTAATTTTGCTTCAATCAAAGCTTCTAAATAGTTCTTCCATCGCAAATATGAACAGACATTTACAAACGTTCTTTTTCAGTCATTGAAATAGTTAATTACAATTTTGCCACAAAAATTTCCGACATCAAAGTTGCAGCTCATATTGCTTTAAGCGTCACACATAATTCAATGAAAAAAGTTCTAACAGCTCCATTACAATATCTACTAAATAAACGTGGCCAAGCACAAAAATATTGTTCTGAGTATGATTAGGAAAAAAGAGAACAAAAAAAAAAAATAAAAAAAAACAAAAACAAAAACAAAACAAAGATACAAATGAAAAACAAAAATAAACAAACAAAACAAAAACAAAACAAAACAAACAAAACAAACAAACAAACAAACAAAAATAATTTTAAAAACATCCTGTTTCCGATTAATGACATGTATGTCAATAAATTACACACTCCTTAAAATTATATATACATATACATATATATATATATATATATATATATATATATATATATATATATATATATATATATATATATATATATATATGTATGTATGTATGTATGTATGTATATATAGAATCTGAATAAGAAGAAATATGATTTTTTTAAGCAATTGTTACTATACTTAAGCCCCTACAATCAGTATTTTGTATTGTAAAATAAATGCTTTTGAATATGTTCGGTGTAGCTGTTAAATGAAAAAAATATAGGTATCTTTTATTTGCTTAAACATAAATGTTGACATTTAGTCATTATTTTGTTCCCCTTTCGTTTACCACAGAGCTATTTTGTTCGTCTCACTGCTGGGATCTGGCTACATATTTATTGAGGAATTATCAGCTATTTTCAATAATTGTAGAAAATAAGATATGTGTCGACATTCATATGAACTTCTGTTGACCTTTCCCGCTAAATACCAAAGACTGACGTCATGGAGGGTGATAAATTAAAGTTTATTTTTGGAAAATACTTTTTAAAAACTTTAAATCTTGAAAATGCATTAATCATAAGATTAAAATTCGACGATTTCTTTTTAATAATTGTGTTATTTACCAATATTAATATTATAGAGCTTATCATTATCTTTAAATTGTTTTTTAGTATTTATCAAATGTATTATTGCACTTCTAGTGTATAAAATGAGGTCCACGGTCAAGAAGTCAAGGCCCAAGGGCCTTAACGCTCACCTGAGTATAATACAAGACTGTTAAGGATACATAAAAATATAGACAAAAGAAAACAAATAGATTTATATATATTGCACAAGGCAATAGAAATACAATGATCAGGGATTGAAAAAATAGTTCGTTATTACCCGATCCTGACAAGGAGCACACGGCGGGTGTGACCGGTCGGCAGGGGATGCTCACTCCTCCATGGTACCTGATCCCTCCTCTGACGTTTTTGAGGTCCGTGTTTGCTCTGCTCCTATTTTGTAATGTTTAATGGACTTCTGAGGTTGAATACTGTTCATTATCTCCATATATTTCATTCTTCAGTCTACTACTCAGTAACAAATCATATATTATGTAGATCTATTTACTTTCCTGAACTGCCAGTGCTAATATACTCCCAATAAACAAAACAATATTGCAAAAGCACATTACATTTAGCATTGAGCACATTGGTTTTTGATGTACATTAATTTGTAAGCTATTTTTATTTATCTTTTATTTATGAGTCTACCTGACCATTGAAAACTATGAAGGTTAGTTTTAATTATGCATTAAAAATCCTTGTGTATAACTCTATTCATCAATTCGCCTATCAATTGCATTGTTTACAGTGATTTATTATCAAAGGTGAATAGCAAAGTTGGAATAACTTCTTTCGGTAGTGTACAATTTTCCCTACAATATCATAAATCCCTGCCCAGTGCAAGAACACTTTGACAAAGTTGTCCAGAATTTCACAAATCTTTTACAAATACCCTTGTTCATTGCAACTTTGTACTCCGATAGCTTCGTCGACCCCAAGGATCAGGGAATATCTTCAAAGTATTATGCATTTTGATATAAAAGAAAAAAATCTTAACGAGCCAAAAACAAGTCTACATTTCCGAATTTTCTCATTTTTACACAGATTTTTATCGATTTTACAGCACATTTTGTTCCAGAAAACATAGCGCACAAGATTGCCTATCTACCAAATTTATATATTTCATACATTAGTGTCAGAATCATCTTATGTATTTAAATCTCAGACAGGCAAGTTAGTGCTCTATGTTTCCTGGAGAGAAAAGTATCTCAAATTTGACGAAATGCCACCAGAATTGAGGAAATTCGGGAAAATGTCCTACTTCTGCACTTTTGTGGCCTCCATGTAAGCTTTGAATCAAAGTTAGTACTGGTTTTAAAACAAGCATCAATTTGAGTTCCTAACTACAAACTATCACAATTCTAACTGTGTTCTGATTTTTACATTAAATAAGGGGCCAGATTCGGCCATTACCATACCTTGTCCTTAATAGTAGTTAGGCTGACCTCCATGTCTCCCCCAGTTTTACGGGCCTGATGTCGTACCATTAATAACCATCTTTTTTTGGTTCGAGATCCCTCCGAGTCGATCGATTCGTTTCATATTCATTTTCAGATTCGTTTCAGATTCAGAAACATTTCTAATAGGAGGAAACAGAAGCTGACGAGAAGCGAGGTTCTCTCCTGTGTTGGCCTGTTCAGATTTGTTACCATTATCTTGATGTATAGATTCTATGAGGTACATTGTATATATGGCGCTTCTGTCCATCTTTAATGATAGAGGGTACGTGTATTATCTGTAGGTCATTCTACTATTATTATGTTATGTGGATGATTATGTTCTCCATGAGGGCTGATTTAGTATCTATGGATGCATTTTGACAGAAAACATGATGGCAGCTTTATTTCTTATCTTTATTGTTACAATAATAGACTCAATCCATGCATTTCTAACGCTTGCAAAACTTGGTGACTAAACAGTTAAATAAATGTAAAATCAAATATTTCACATATTTTCAAGTTTTGTTTTAATAATGTAATACTTGGAAAGCTAAAACAAAAAATTGCACAGTAAAACTCTCTTCAAAACTAAGTTAATTGAGCTAGTATTACGTACATTGAATAAATACGTATTTCTAGAATATCTACAGATCAGCTTTCATCATTTAGACTCAATAAAAATAATTTGTACATCCTATGCTTTAAAGTCTTACCACCGGGTTGATTAGAAGCCGATTTCTACAAACAATTGTGCATTATTATAAGTAAATTTTACCTAAATAAACCACTAACTGAAATAAACGTGATTTGATTTGACATGAACGTTTCGTGAAATCGTAGGAATCTATGTGGAATTCTTATCACTTGAACAACACCTAAGGCATTTGTGGTTATGTATAAATATATTACAAGTGCTTGAAAAATCTTATCTGATATGAAAAAAGATTGCTTAATTTCATTCAGTATGATGTTTATAGATAAAGCAACAATTCAACAAATTTGCAAGACAGTAACTGTTCTTTAACTCATTTAAAGGCTACTCTTGTTCACAGCCTGAAAAAGCGGAAGAGACGTAATTTGTAATGGCCGCTGTTACCCCGCCTACTCCGATCTTGGTGGCCAGGCCTGTCCCCAGTACACCTGCACTCTGTAAGCCCGCAAACAAGCCGCCTGCCGCCGTGGAGGACGTCTAAACATCATTCAAATAAAACATAGTGAGCAATAGATTACTATTGAAATATGTTTACTGATCAGAGTTTTTTTTAACATGGATTGGCTAAAGTTTTATCAACGTCTGTAAACATGGAATGGCTGAGATAATATCCATGTCTTTTTACAAGAGTGTACATATATTGGCTTAGGTTGGATCATGTCTTTTTACATGCATTAGCAAAAGTAAGACACATGTCTTTTTACATCGATTAGTTAAAGTAGGATCCATGTCTTTTTACGTGGATTGGCTAAAGTTGCATCTATATCTCTTAACGTGGATTGGCTAAAGTTACATCCATGTATTTTTGCTTGGTTTGCTTAAAAGTTACATTCATTACTTTTTACATGGATTGGCTAAAGTTACACCAAATGCATGTCTCTTAACATGGATTGGCTAAAGTTACATCCATGTCTTTTTGTTTTGATTGGTTATAAAGTTACATCCATGTCTTTTTGCTTTGATTGGCTAAAGTTACATGCATATCTTTTTGCTTTGATTGGCTAAAGTTACATCCATTACTTTTTACATGGATTGGCTAAAGTTAGAGTCATTAATAACTGTGCCACTTTCATGTCAAAATTAACAGAAACAGTTAGCCAGTGGGTCTTGGTATTCTTCAAGGTAAAATGAGTTGATGAGTCACTTGTGCTTAAAACTGTTGACCCAAAACCAATGCTTTTACAAAATCCAATAAATTATAAATATCAACAAGGTAAATTACTCCTTATTAGAGAGGGGACCAGTTTATCCAAGCTTGTCTAGCTAGCAAAGGGTTATCAAGATATGAGCAAAAACACTCGGTCTACCGACCGACAGATCGACCAGTGCAACCCATTATCTCTTTTTCAAACAAAGGGGGGGGGGGGGGGTGAAGAATCCTTTTGAATAGCCGCTTTGGAAATTATGCTTTCACATTTTTAGACTGTTTCCTGGTACAAAAAAAGGTTACATAAGATATGTGCACACTTTGGGGTGCGTTATTGAAAAACTTAACGATCCCATATTCTTTAAAAGGTTGCTAAGCTTGAACTCGACGCAATGAGAGACGTAAACATCCCTGTTAATCCTTAATATGAAAATGTTTCGATTTAAGTGATTAAAACATTGGCTTTGAGGCTTGCAAGCAGTGATATTTATTCTTACAGCATTAAATACCCTTAATGTAAATATGTTCAAACGGAGGGTCGTGTTTAGACTGGGGATTTCAACAATCAACTTGTCCCTACCTTATACTTGGCCTCGGGACATGGAATTATGAATTTTACATAAAACTATCATGTTGTAAATTTGGAATTTACCTCCAACTGATTAACATATTAAGACTTTTATAAGACACTGATCTTTAATCATAAGACATTGAAAAAAACTGTCTCGAAGTTGCTCAGCAGGTAAGAAGCTTTTTAAAGATATATGTGACGCCACGCGTGGCGCAGGAGTTAAAGCGTTTGATCTAGTGTCGCGAAGTAAGGAGTTTATCCTTACGTCGCGGGTTTGAAACCCACTGTTGGACGTGGAGACCGGTCCTTCGGATAAGACTGTATAAACCGAGGCCCTGTTTCGCAGTAGGTCCTGGCACGAGAAAGATCCCTCACTGCTCAATGGTCCTGAGTGCCGAGTATAGGACTAAAATTTGCACCTACCACGCAAGTGGCGGCGTCCCAATATGAATGAAAATTCTCGATAGGGACGTTAAACAACAAACAATAAAGATACATGTGTATGTATATTCTATTGAGATGAGCTTAGCCTCACTTTGACCCCTTGGCTCGGAAGAAATGAATTTTACAATTCTAATTTGGCAAAGATCTAAATGCTCATTTTAATCATGTAATCAATTTTCAAGCCAGTTTTCTCTCTGAGTAAAAATGATTTTCAAAATTACAACGAATTATCAATATATTATCATAATGACAAATTGAACCCTCATAAATTGCGTCATTTTCCCCAAATTCTGAATATTTCTATAAAAACAGCCAAACTTTTAAGCTATTTTTTCAATATTTCGTATAGAGCGCAATCTCTGATCTAAAATGTGCAACTATATAATGATAGAACTGTTTCTCAAGATTACAAAATCTTGTTTCTTCGCTGAAAGTACTCAAATAAACCTATTTTCTTTAAAATCAAGAAAATTTCACAAAGATTTTTGCAATACTTTGACTTTCAGGGAAAACTTTTTTCAATATAGAAAATGTAAGCACTAAGTCTCTACTTGATGTATGAAATGGGACATAGAATGGTAGTCAATAAATTGTTTTATCTACAGGGCCGTTTTATGTATAAAGTGAAACTAGCTCTTTTATATGACAACTCCTTATGGCCAAAAAAGATTCCTTTCAATTATAAGGTCAAAAGGTCAAGGTCAAAAATCATACATTTCAAATAACATTTCCAAGATGATAACTTTAGTTTTCTTTGAGCATTCTTCAACAAGATTTAATATCACAACACCCTATGATGTAAAGAAGATCCTATGTATTTTGAGATCAAAAGGTCAAAGGTAATAAATTTATACATTTTTTGTCTAAAACTTTCCTTTCCAGACAATATCTTAAAAGTCTATGAGCTTTTCAAATGAAATATCACAACTCCTTATGGCCTAAAGAGGATCCCCTTTGATTTTCAGGTCAAAATGTCAAAGGTCTTAAATTCATACAATGCAAATAACATTTTCCAGATGATAACTTATTAACTTTACTTTTCTTTGAGCTTTCTTCGATAAAATTTAATATCACAACTCCCTATGGTCTAAAGTAGAACCTTATTAATTTTGAGGTGTAAAGGTCAGAGGTCAAGGTCATAAATTCATACATTCTGTCTGTGTAACTTTTTTTTCCAAACTATATCATAAAGACTTTGGGATTTTGCAAAGAAATTTAATATCACAATATTAGAACTCCACATGGCCTTAAAAAACCAAAAGATCCAAAGGTCAAAGTCTGAAATATATATTGAATATATTATTTTCAAATAATAATTTTAGTTTTTCTGAAAGCTTTTACAATGAAATGTTTGGTCATGAATTTCTTAAACTTTAAAAAGACCCCCTATTGACTTTAAGGCCAATAGCTGAAAGGTCAAGGTTGACCTTTTTTTCTCTCCATCTGTAATTTTTTCCCCAGTTCTTCTACCTTTTTCTATTGTCCTTAAGTGGGGAACACAGGTTCTTTAAATTAGCATGTTAAAGATTATGATTATGAAAATAGTGTCAACAACATATACAGGCATTATGTAACTGGACTAGAATTTTCTATAGACTTTCAGCTATTCATGTCCCATCTTGATACAAGAAATTATTTTGTCTGTCTAGATTTCTAATAGATTAATTTCTTTATGAATAAAATAGTTTATATTGTCAACCCTATAGGCCCTATTACATAAAATAAGATTATATTTATTGCCACGATTACATTTGGTAAAATATGATTAAGGTTATAGTGATTTAAAACCTACAAGTTTCAATTTTAAGTGCAAGAAGGTCAATTTAATTGTACTGTTGCTCATATTATAAGATGCACACTGACACCCCCCCCCCCCTCCCCATTTTCTTTGCGATTTTGACTCATGCTATATGAGTACAGTGTTGTTATCTAAAATACACTTCTTAAAAAATCCTTGATAATAACTCATACCATGAGTGACATACCTTAATTTCGATTGTTGTCCCTTAAACTACCACCCCTCCTTTTTAACGGGGGAAAAAATTAGCGACATTTTCCTAGAATTGGGAAAAATCTTTTGTGGAAAATAAGATTGATAAAAATACATAAAATAACAGAACATAAGAAAATATTGCCCGCATTTTGGCCCTAAACATCACTGTTGCAAACTTGCACTCCAACAAAAATTATAATTATTATTATAAACGTTTTCATGTTGAATATGTCCACAAAAAAAACAGTACTAAAAATAGTGCCAGTCTCCTCAGATTGAGAATGTTGCCTTTTATACACGTACATGCATCCTGTTGCATTAAATATTCATGAAATCTCTTTTTAAAAAGGTATGAATTGAATATTCTATTTTATTTGTTTCCAGCATAAGTACATATATGTAAATTATATCTTTTACTTCATACTAGAACTATCTAAATATACATTTACATTTCTTTCAAATGGAGTTATGTGACCAAAAAATAAAAATAAAAAAGACATAAAAATCATTCATGTGGCCCACGTTTGTTTAAACTATGGCACATTTTATATTGTTCTGTGGAAAACAATCCTAGTGAACTCACTTGTATCCCGGCAGCCAATGAACCGGCAGCGACTCCCGTTGCAGTAAACCCTGCCGCTGTCAACACTAAAGGTAGGCTTACAACAGCTGCCACCCCAGTCCCAACTGCTACAAGGGTTTTACCAGAAATCCACGACGCTGAAAGTGCAATCAAGGTCGTAACTTTGGAATCGATTTAGAAACATTACAAACTACTTTTAAGGTACATATAGGTATGCCTATTGCAAAATTTCAACTTTGCCTCATCTATTAGAATTTCAAAAAATAGAAAATCTCCCTTCAAAAACGTCATTTTACAGATATCCTATTACCATTTACACATTCAGGAATTTCTGAGTTCCATTTTCCTTTAACAAACCGTATAACGTGACAGTTTGATGGTTCAAATCCCTTCTCACATCTCAAAATACATCGACCCTCCACTTTCTCTTCATGCCAGGATCCATTTTTAGGATTTTCTAGTTAGACAACAAAAACAATATATAATACAGGTTCTACAAAACTATAATACATGAGAAAGCTTTATTAAATAAATTCTTTCTTATTGTTCTTTTAATTTTACTCCAAGGGTTAAATTTCAACAAAATTCACCTGAATATTTTTAATACATGCACACATGTATATCACCTTTTGAGTGGCAACATTTTTGTAGATAGTTAAAATTTTATACATTCCGTTACGATGCGGATATATCGAACAAGCGTCAAATATTTCAGAAACATGAGGTTATTAGGAAATATTTTCTATGTAAGGAAAAATTTAACAATCAATGTTAATTGTTTGTTTGTCTAACGTCCCTTCGACAATTTTTCACTGTTCAGACTTGAGACATTACCACTTGACGGTGGAGAGCTGCAAATTTAGACCTGTACTCGGCACCAACCTTTGAGCATTGAAGGATCTTTTTTTGGTGAACCTACTGTGACACGGGACCTAGGTTTATACAAAGGACTGGTCTCCACGTCCCGCAGTGGGATTCGAACCCGCGAAGAAAACTGTTCTTGGATCAACTCCTTACTCCGCGACTATAGAACAAACGCGCTAAACACTGCCCCACGCAAGTGACCAACCAATGTTTAAATTTGAAAAAAACAAGATGTGTTTGTGAAACACTGATGCCCACGTATGGCAACTTATAGCGAAGGTTATACTTTCTCAAATGCAAATCAAGTATGTTGGTACCCAAAGTAAGGGCTTGTACCGAGGAATATACCTGTGAAATATGAAAGCCCTAGCGGCAACCATTGAAAAGATATGGAAAATGTTAAAGTTTTTCAAAAGTAAGTCGAACATCAAGGTCAAGGTAAAATGGTCAAAATTAATGGTGCTCAAGGAAAGACCCTCTCACAAGAAATACACATGTGAAATATGAAAGCCCTAACACAAACCGTTCAAAAGATATGCCAAGGTTAAAGTTTTTCAGAAGTAGGCCAAACTCCAAGGTCAATGGGCTATAATTGTTGGTATCTAAAGGAAGGTCTTGTCACAAGGATTACACATGTGAAGAAAGAAAGCACTAAAATCAACTGTTCAAAAGTAATGGCTAAGGTAAAGGTTTTCCAAGAGTAGTTCAAACTCCAAGGTCAATGGCATATAATTGTTGTATCTAAGAAAGATCTTGTCATAACAATTACACATGTGAAAAATGAAAGCCTTAGCACTAACTGTTCAAAAGTTAGGGCCAAGCTTAAAGTTTTTCAAAAGTAGGTAAAAATCTAAGGTAAAGGTCAAAGGTCAAAGTTGTTGGTATCCAAAGGAAGACCTTGTCACAAGGATTACATATGTGAAGTATGAAAGCCCTAGCACCAATCGTTCAAAAGTTATGGCAAAAGATTAAAGTTTTTCAAAAGTAGGTCAAACTCCAAAGTCAAGGTCAAAGGGTCAAAATTGTTGGTCTCCAGACGAAGGTCTTGTCACAAGGATTACACATGTGAAGTATGAAAGCCCTAGCATCAACTGTTCAAAAGTTATGGCCAAGGTTAAAGTTGGGTAAAATTTTGCAAAACTGGGTCAAACTCCAAGTCAAAGGTCAAATATGATGGTACCCAAAGAAAGGTCTTATCACAAGGAATACACATGTGAAATATGAAAGCCATTGATCCAACCAATCAAAAGTTATGAGCAATGTTAAAGTTTTTGCGGACAGACAAACAGATAAACAGACAAACAGCTAGACAGACAGACGGACGGACAGTGCAAAAACTATATACCCCCGAATCTTCGATACGGGGGCATAAAAATTATGGTATATTCAACGAACGGTAACTCTAAAATTGTTTTGAATAATTCATCAAACAGGCAGGTAGATGTTATGGGAATGACAAGGGTTTAAAGAACACCCAAATTTCAATCATTAATTATCTTAAAATCTGGAGCCAAGTGAAAGTTAACGTTTGAACACCATGTATCTTGAGTAAAAATTTGAGCCATAGAATTTTGTTCTTATTCTGCCCATTTCCCTTTATTTTAGATGTGGACAGGTGGACAGAATTTGCAAAGTTTCTTTAGAAATGATATTGGCTTTGTTTAACAGCTGCTATCGGCCACCGAGACTTTGAGTAAGAATGACGTGTCACATCGCAGAATCTTGTTTGCGGTAAGTCCTAGAATATTCCCAATACAATAACTAACGTCTTTGCGCACTCTGAGATCTAGAAAGCGAAAGTAAAAAAAAAAAAAAACGTGGGTGGACTGTCAATTGCACATTACATTACTCGTCATCTTTACTTGGGATGTTTTTATAACAGTACAGATTTCTTACTTGGACAAAAACAGGAAACTCCTCCAAGAAACCCTAAACAAAGAATCCACAACGTCAGCTTACAGACATCTCCTGCCATTTTCTGTAAGACCCGTAAGTAAATGAGAGTTATCGCTCTTCTTACAGCCACTCTCTTTGCATGAACCCTTTGTTCAATTTTTTCAAAAAAATGAATAAATAGATAACAGCATTGGTAGGAATGTAATACATCAGCTCAATGTAATCTTTATCACAATCCCTTTATTTAAAAAGTAAAGTTTTCCTCGCTGTAACAAATCTGATATAGTCTGGATTAAGCAGAGCAGGAGTTATATGAATTCCCATGATACTGGGAAAACTGGAATTGATTTCAAGATTGAATTTACTGCTGGAAAAAATGCAAGGTATTATATAACAGGTAGGCCTCAAATTCATTTTTTTTATTTGAAACTTTCAAATTTGTTCCAAGATAAAAGGTCAATATTTATGTGTAATTTGAAGAAATTCAGCTACGCAATTTTTGCTCACAAAGTAATATGTAGCCTTTCAGACCCTTGCAAGAATCAGACATTCAACTATAGAATTGGCATTGATTAGAAATTACTATTTGATTTATCAAAATTGTGTATGATGCTGTTTAAGGGTAATCCTTTTGTTACTATTATTCAGTAAAATATCTTGATAGCAGTGTATTTGAGTACACTGTGATTCAAAAATATAGAACATGCATTGCTTTGGAATTGAAACTTCGCAATAAATGTGCTACACCTGAAGATCGCTGAAGAAAAGATATTGAATTCATATAATTCACACACACACACGCACCCTCCCCCCCTCCCCCCCCCCCCCCCCCACACACACACACATACACAATCAACAAAATAACTGAAATGGAACAAAGATTAGAATATGTCAAACTGAGGAGATTTAGAGGTTTCAAACATTTTCGAGATTTAAAAAAATTCCAATGCAAAAAAAGGAAAAAAAAAAAGAAGAAGAAGAAGATGACGTCATAATAACTAACCTTCGACCTCTTCAAGTATGACTTTTATTGCACATGAGGAATAGAGACTTCTTATAAGCATTTGTCAAAATATCAGATCTCTACTATGAAGGAATCAAAAGTTACACGTTATTTGATAATTAACAGACAGTTAAATTGCATGTAAATGACAACATTAACATGTTCTAAATGAAGTCTCCAGAATCTCCAATATAAATATTTTACTATCTTAAATGGCCTTATTTGTGTGTCGCCTGAAGAGCAGAGAGACACTTAGAGATCATTTTACCTGGCGTCTGTCTATCTGTGTGTCTGTCTAGCTGTCTGTTAATTCGTCTGAGAGAGAGAGAGAGATGTTTATAATGTCTGTCTACAATCAAGTTGAGTTTGAGTTTTTTTTAGTCAATGATCTTAATAGTTTAAATGCATATAATTTTCGGGCATACAGCAAAGGTTTCTTGAAAAACAAGATTCTAAAATTACAAAATGTTTAACCTTACAACATTAAAAAATAGAAAAAAAATTGTTTTTGCAAACAGGGTTAAAACACGAGTAAGGAATATTTATAATGCTGAACTTATCGCGGCTGTTGAAACGCCCTGTAAAATAACTTATTTGTCAGTATCCTGCCTCTGTTTAAAAGGGAATTTGTAGACATAAACACCAAATGCAGGTTATAGTTAATATTACTAAAGTGTATATAAATAAGAAGTTGGCAATGGAAAAGGAGATATCATCCAGGTGCCATGTATAGTTTAACAATAAACTGGCCATAAACGCCTAACACGTAATATCGAAATATGAAACGATAAGGCCTAAGATAATAGTTGTCAACAATAGCCATTGTGATGTATCTATTGTGCAATTTTATTGTGTGCTGAGAACAAAGTCAGTTTAATATATAGAAACATATAATGCTGTTATGATACATTTTGATTGCATGACGTCCAGTGCTCGGCAAAAAAAAAAAAAAAAAAAAAAAAAAAAAAAAAAACATTGAGACCCAGGCCCTGGCATCAATCACCTCTTGTGTAAATTTTGTATCACTCTGTCGGGATGGGGGTTATTTTTCAACGGGGGTCAATTTCGTACGGGGTGCATATGTAGAAAACCGTTTCCTGTGGGTCTTTTTCTACAACATGTTTACATTTATTTTGGCTGGGGAGTATATACATGTATTCGAGGTCTTAAAATGACCCCGATAATTTTTCTACAGGGATCATTATTCCACATACACCGCCAGTGTTAGAGGACAAATGTGTCTCCAAAGAGCGGCCATCGACAGGGGATTTTTACACCTTACAGCACTTGATCCCATCGCTGGTGATTCCAGGGTTCGTGTTGTTTGTTCTGTTCACGATTTGGGTTGTTTATAGGATAATATTTCTTTTTCTTTCAGACATTAAGTGATATTTTAACTCTATAATGAAATTTAAATACAAGAGCAGTAGTAAAACCCACCTTTCCAAGCCAGATTCAATTAAAGAAAATATTTTTTCTATTGGATTTTGACTATAGCATTTAAATCTTAAAATTCACTTGATCAAAGCTGAACACGACTCACAATAAGTATACGCCATGTTAGTCTTCCTAACTCCGATATCAGCACTGTGGTACATGTATGCGCTCCGCTTTCGTTACGCCTGATTGCTTTCTTGTAATAGATACCTGCATGCATGGAATGGACGACACATGCTCGAGTTAGTTATCTTGCATTACGTTTGTTTACATTATATGGCAGTTTACTTGTGTTTATGTCTGTTTTTACTGCACTGGCCTGTCAACTGATGTCATATTTCATAGGTAACTTTTTCTCCTGTCGTGGAAGAAGCATGCAGGTACTTTTGTTGCTACCGAGTATTTTACAATGGCTATGTAGGACCTTCCTTATAGGTGAAGACTGAAAAGCGTATTACACTGAACCGTGACCAAGTGAACGGCTTATATAGGGCTCCACTTATAACAAGAAGTTCAGAAAAATATGGCGGACAAATCCCTTTTACGAATCGTGCCCAGCTTTAAAGTGTTTATTTACACAAATTTTACTCACATTCCATTTAACTACTGAGTAAAAGGAAGTGATTTTATATCACGTGCTTTATAACCATCTACTAGCTGTTTGTCAGCTTAACATTCATAAGTAAAGGGAAAAAATGCCAGAACCTTGGATCATTGAAAAGGAAATATTCTGGTTTTGTTATGTTCCGCCTTGAATATGACCGGGGCATATAGTGTTTGTCATGTCCATCTTCCGTCCTTCCTTCACACTTTGCGTTTATTTAAGTTTATTTAAGTTTCAAAGAAACTAATGAAGCTATTTTAATCAAACTTCATATGCTGATAAATATTGATAAGAGCTAGTCAACTGCATCAACATTTCTTCTACCTTGACTTTTCCTTTGACCTCACTCTTCTTAAATGAGAGTTTAGCTCAGTTTCAAAGAAAAAGTCAAGATACTTTTGTTAAAGCTTATAAATGTATGCTAATGCATACTACATATGTATTGAGAACTATTCAACTCCATCAACATTTTTTGTCCTTGACCTTTCTTTTGGCCTTGACTTCACTTGTTTTAAATTTGTGTTTACTTTAGCTAAGTTTCAAAGAAACTATTTACAATATTTTTATCAAACTTCATATGCTGATTCCTTTGACATTGACTTCACTTTTCTTTAATTAGTGATAATTTCAGTTTCATGGAACGTATATTGATGAGGCCTATTCAACTGCATCAACATTTTTATACCTTGATCTTGACCTCGCTGTTCTCAAATTTGTGTTTAGCTCAGTTTCAAAGAAACTATTCTAGAATTTTTTTTTTATGTAAGCTTATGCACTGATGTATTTATTTATTTGGTGAGTAATTATTAACTGTATCCATTTTTTTTTACCTTAAAATTCCCAGTAACCTTTGACTTATTATTGTTGTGTATAAAACTCAGTTTTAAAGAATCTATTCAAGATAATTTCATCAATTTTCATACACTAATACAAATTTTCAAACTGCATTACTAATGAACCCTGGGCGGGGCATTCATGTTCTATGGACATATTTCTAGCTGTAACTCATTACTTGTACGTCAATCATCAGGAAGCCGTATAAACATTCTGTTTTCTCTGAATTTCTCTGAATTTTTGTAAAAAAAAAAAAAAAAAAAAAAAAAAAAAAAAAAAGGGCGCATTTTACAAAATTCAGCATGAATCCGGGCGTACTTGAAAAGCGAAAATTCTATTGACCCTTCAACTGATAATATGTTACTATTGTTTAAATATGTATCTTATATACAGGGTCCTTTTATTCAGTTACATCAAACAACAATGCAAATTGGTTCCGTTGTTTCAGAGGTGACGTCAAAGACTTAGAAAAAAATAAAGAGAAATGCAGAGCACCATTACAAAGAAAGGATCTGATCCTTCGGATGAGACCGTATATAAACCGAGGTGCTGGCACGAAAAAGATCCCTCACTGCTCAATGGCCCCGAGTTCCGAGTATAGGTCAAAATTTGCAGCTCTCCACCGGTAATTGGTGGCATCTCCATATGAGTGAAAAATTTTCGAGAGGGACGGTAAACAATAAACAAACAAAAAGCAAAGAAAGGATAGGAGTACTACGGAAGATTGCAGAATTAATCGTACCCTGTAGATTTAAGTGTATGTGAAATTCCTTAGTAAAAGGATAGTAATATTTAAGGCTCTTATCAGAACAGTAAATTCGTCCTAAAATATGAGACCTTTGAAAGTCAATAAGAAATTTTTGAAAATAATTTTCTTATCCAGGAAATCGAAAATTCCTATTACACAGGGCATTATCATAATTTTATTTAACTTTTAGATAACAATATCATAAGTCTTAACTGCACTAAATTTTTAAAATGATCAAAATAAAAAAAAAAATGCTTTATCTTCAATATTAAACATATTTACCAATCAATATTATTTTACAGTGTTCCATAAAAAATCAGATGTTTAGCAAGTTAACAGCGGTTTTAATCAGATATTACTCCTTTTCACAGTTTGAGAATTTTGAAGAAAGGAAGCGTGTAGCCAGTCCTGTTAAGGTCCCCACTCCTAGCTTAGTGGAGGCAGCAGCGCCCAGTACACCTGCACTCTGTGATGCAGCGAACCAGCTTCCGGCGGCTGTGAATGGAGTCTGAAAATAAAGAAGAGGAAAAAAACATATATAATTTCTTTCTTTTTGCCCCTTGAAGGGCCTTATTAATTGGTCATTAAACTAATTGAATTAAATTGAATTGTACTTTATTAATTAAGAGTGAAAATTTTCTAATATGTAAATGAAATACACACCTTATACGTTTACCTAAATATAAGTATTTAATATTTTAAAAAATCACGGAATAAAGGATGAAAAAAAACTCATGCTCAATATTACATTAGATTTTTTCAAATTGTTTTGCTGTAATTATTCGAACAATAATAGAAAATAATGAAATTTATCGATACATTGCGTTTGATACATGTATAAAATTGTCAGTGCCTTTGATAAAGAAAAATTCTTAAATTATTTTCATAGTTCTCAAATAAAAATGTAAAGTATTGCAGATTCATTTTTTTTTTAAATCTTTGCCCCATTGGGGGTTCAGGGTGGGGGTTTGGTGGGAAGGCACACAGACTACAGAATATTAGATTTGCATATACATGTATAGGGAAACAAGAGGCCCATGGGCCACTACGCTCATTTTGGCCATCCTGTTCTTCATCAGCCGATTTGTTTTTTTTATTTCCCCTCTTTAATTTCATAAAAAAAAATTGACTCCACGAAATATTGAGATATCGAACAGTATTCAAGCTCATAAGTCCATTCAAAAATACAAATCAGGAGCAGAGCAAACGCGGACCTCTAAAACATCAGAGGTGGGATCAGGTGCCATGGAGGAGTGAGCATGTTTTAGACCAAAATCTAGCTCTAAGAAATCTTTGATTTAATCAAAGTTGAATCTAAACAGATGCTTCAGTATCAATAGTATCAACATGGCTCTGCTGTTCTGGAGAGTTTGTCCTTGTACACCTGCATTATGTGAACTTTTGAAATCTGCTTTTAGCCCTACCCGTAAACCCCTGGGCTCATAATTTAATTTAAAAAAATGATTCCACACAACTAAGAATTGTTCTGCTTATCTATATGATTTAGTCTGGCCTTTCTACTCTTCAACTTTGATTCCCTGTTGTAGCCTTAACCTATACCCAAAGGCCGTGATCTGAACAAACTTGAATCAATGCTACCTGAGGATACTTGCTTATCAATATGATTAACAATAGTTTTGCTATTTATGAGAGGAGATTTTTAAAGATTTTTTCTATATGCTCCTATGTTAACTATGATCTCCTATTGTGGCCCCAGCCTACCTCCAGGGACCAAGATTTGATTCAGAACAAACTTCAATCTGCATAACCTTGGGATACTTCAATTATATATATATGACTCATCATGGATTTGCTGGTCGATAGAAGATTTTTTCTATATATTCCTTCGTAAAAATGTGTTCTCCTAATGTGGCCCTACCATTCTCCCTGGGGTCATAATTTGCATTACCTGAGAATGTTTCCATTTTAATATGACAATTCATGGATTTGCTGTTCTTGAGAAGATTTTTAAAAATGTTTACTATATATTCCTCTGTAATTTTTTGATCACCCATAATTGTGGTCGCATTCTACCTCTGGGGATCATGATTTGAACAAATTTGAATCTACACTACCTACATTGGGATATTTCCATATTAACATGACTAATCATAACTTTGCTGTATTTTTAAAGATTTTTTTCCCTTTATATTCCTATGTAACACTTTGATTGCCTATTGTGGCCCCACCCTCCTCCCGGGGATCATGAATTGAACAAATTTAATCTTTACTACCCGAGGATGCTTCCAAATAAATATGACTAATCATTTCTTAACTGCTCTTGAGAGGAAGATTTTTAAAGATTTTTTTTCCAATATATTCCCTTGTAAAACTTTGATCACCTATTGTGGCCCCACCTTCAAACTACACTACCTGAGAATGCTTTCATTTAAATATGACGTATGGCTATGCTGTTCTTAAGAAGAAGATTTTAAAAGTTTTTTCCTATTCATATGTAAAACTTTGACCACCTATTGTGGCCCCACCCTACCCCCCCTGGGGTAATAATTTGAACAAATTTGAATCTACACTATGTAATAAAGCTTACACTTAGGTTTCATCTTTTCTGACCCAGTGGTCCTTGAGAAGATTGTTTTTTTTTTTTTTTTTTTTTTTTTTAAAAAATGCCATTAAATTTCACTAATTCTTAATTATCTCCCCTTGGAAGAAAACGGGATCCTTCAGTTAAATGAAAATGAATCCCTCTTTACACAAAACTGCTTTATGGCAAGATTGGTTGAAATTTGTCCTGTGATTCCTGAGAAGAAGTCGAAGATGTTAAAAGTTTACAGACGGACAAACAAACTGACGGACGCCGGACAAAATATGATCAGAAAAGCTCATTTAAGGTTTCAGCTCAGGTGAGCTAAAGAAAGAATATTTTCAAGAACAGAAGGGCCACAATTTAATCATATATGTACGCAAGCATCCCCAGATAGCGAAGACTTTTTTCCAAATTGAAAGGCATGGGGTTTAGATTGGGCTTCAATGATCAAATATTGTCAAATAACTTATTATCAATTGGTTTTATTTTTGCGTTTAGATGAAAAAAACCTTGGTTCAAAACTGTTTTCGTGGTTAAGATTGAAAATGATACTGTGGTATGAAATTTTAATATTCATTCCAAGAAAATATCGTAAATCCCTCCCCCCTTCTACCCCTATGCCCAACAATAAGTTATTTCACACTATTTACATAAAATGTATAGGGAAAAAAATCTTTAAAAACCTCTTCTCAAATATACCGATTTTATGTCTAGCGATTATATTATTAATTTATTATAAGGCATCTACCTAACGACAAGTTGTTTTTCAAACATGACCATAGAATTTGAAAAAAGAAATGATGACTTCAATCAAGATTAGAGATACCCTCGTAAAATCAACATATTTGCCAGTAGCCGACTGCGATTTAGAAATGGATCAAATACAGAACAAACTCTTAATTATCAAATCAGCTAGATGAATAAGATGTAATATAGAGGTGATTATGGTCTTTGTTTATATATATCTATATAAATAAGGAAATTTTACGATCGAAAAGTTGAAGTCATCACATTTATGATAAATGTTAATTGTTAGTTTACTCATCAATATCCCTCTATCTAGCCAAACATAAAACAGATGTATCAAATTTTTGCCTCCTTTATTTCGAGTTAAGTGGAATATTTGGAATCAAAGTATGGATTAAAATCAATATTTTAATCGATGAAATGTTAAATATGTCTCAACTAATCTAAATTTCAAATTGAAGGCCGCTGCAATACATTTCATCTTAATCTTTTCATGCGGAAAATTTTGAATGAATTCCGACTCATAAGAATACAAAAAAAAGGGTGGCTAATAAAGGGAGAAATTAAATTAGCCATTGGAATTATGATTAATTCGATATAAAATTTGACCTATTTTAGCCAAACACCAACCCCAGGATCCATAAATTGAAGGGAAAAAACCTAGCTAGAAACTTCTAATTGGTACACATCTTGGGAATGTTTGTTAACCAATTGGTTTATTGCTGTTCTTACGAGGGGTGTGAGAGACTTTTTTCTTCCCATATAAAATTAATCTCCCCTTATCGTCACAGAACCGACATTGCTTGAAATTTGTGCAACCATTCAAGAAAAAGTTGAAAATAATTTAAGGTTTACAAAAACTGCACAAGGGCGATTAGGATCAAAATTGTGACACCACTCTGTCTACTTGTGCTTTAAAATTTGGTCTATCTTTATATTGATGTATTTCGGTGGACATTGGACTAACCTGAAGCCAGGCAGCCAATGATCCGGCTGCGACTCCCGCGGAGGTAAATCCTGCCGCTGTCAACGCTGCAGGTACGCCTACCACAGCAGCTGCCGACCCGACTTCTGCCGTTAGAATTGATTTCGCCGAAATCCAGGTAGCTTCAAATACAATCAAGATTGCATCAGAAAAACAATTTTAACTCTACACCTCAACCCCCTAACGTATTACTCCCCTTCACCTCCACCCCTTTAAAAATATCTCTTGAACAGTCTGAAATATTTTTACCATTTTTACAGTGAGGAATTTCATGGTTCCATTTCCCTTTCACCAACCGGAGAACGTGACAGTTTGATGGTTCGTATCCCTTTTCACATCTCAAAATACATCTACCCTTCTCTTTCTCCTCATACCAGAATCCATTTTTAGGATTTTCTAGTAAAAGAACGAAAAAAGATATATTTACTGCAGTAGTTTTATATGAAGCAATTTTTAAAATGGAGAGCTGTGTTCACAGCTTAAAAAAGTTGGTTGGTCATGGCCATTTTTAGACTATTTAATCCTTCTTGAAAAAAAAATAAATATAGGAAAATGGCATTAGATACCATATCTGAAATTATTTTCCTAATATTAAATAATAGTTAATGGGTAGAAAAGTTCTATTTTAGGTGGATCTGTTGAGTAATTTGTTGACCATCCCGCTTCTTTAAGATTCTCGCTGGTTCACCGATGTCAATAGGTACTGATGGAAGGTATTATGTGCACTGCCGGTTTTACAATGACCGCTTTTAGTGTTAAAAAAAACAAATAAGGAACAGTTATTGGCTTGAATGTCAACAATTATTTAAACAACAAAAATATATATTTATGTGCCTGATTTGAGGGTAAAAAGTGTTTTTAAAGCATTAATTACTATTGTTATTACTGAAATATATATGATAAGGCAATTTTCATGAATTAAATTCCTGGCAACAAAAAGACAAGTGTTAATTCCCCTTAATCTTAGGACAAATGCTACAAATTAAACCAAAACAATGGTTGCATGGACTGGTATATATTTTTGGACTTATTTCGATTGAAAATAATGCATAATATGAAATCTATAAATTATACATTATTGACTGGATTCGAGGGCAACATACGTTTTGTCCGGACCCTAGAACCAAACTGTTTGCCTGAAGCCGCTAATTAGGTCGAAGGAAAACAGTTTGGTTCGAGGGGTCGACAAAACGCATTTTTCCAAAGAACACAGTAACAGTCAATAAATATTTTGTTATACCTTTTATTTTTAAATATCACATATCTGGCTTCCATGTTTGTGATAATTGATAAGATATAGCTGATCCCGCCTGCAGTGTGACGTAAAAAAAAACGCCATAGAGGTCCAATATCTCACTCAGTAAAACATTGAAATGTTTTGTTTGTTTGTTTGTTTGTTTGTTTGTTTTTTTTTTTTTTTTTTTTTGTTTTTTTTTTTTTGTGATTTTTATAGGAAACAGTTTTATAAAGGTATAACAATAAGAAATTGTAGACTTTCTTTATGTTTGCCGTTCAAAATTTCTTCCTTTTTTTCCATTCCCCTTATAAATATATACAATTTGTTTCATCACTTTACAGGACAGGATATTTTTGAGAAACTTTGAGTAAAAAAAACGGAAGTTTTACGCTGCAAACTTATCTATTTCACTTATAAAACATAGATTTAATTGCTGTGTTCATGATTCTTTTTAAAGCGTGTTTGTAGCATCAGTATTTCAACAGCAACAAAAGTACCACAATTACACTCTTTTAAACAATTTCTTATGAAACATTATACAATCCTATTTATATATTTTGTAAAATTACTTCGCAAAAACTCCAAAGAAGTTCTAGAAAATTCAAAATCACCAAATTTTTCAAAAGTCATTAGCATCAATACGTACGACTTTTCTACTCTTAATACATTCATATTTCTCATGATAAATTAAAAAACTAGGATTTTTGCCATCATAGACAACTGCTTCTGCAATAAAAATGAAACTCGGAAATTTTCGTATCTTGTAACTGGTCATCAACGAAATTACTTTGTTAAAAATACTCTGATTCTACACAAATTCTGAAGTTGATGTATTAAAAGGTTGCTGGAGTTCCTCTTTGACAACATTTATGTAGTCTTCGGAGACAAGGTCTTCCAACAAACTGTTGGAATCTCGATGGGCACTAATTATGCTCCTTTATGATCTGTTTTTATATTCCAATGAAGCGGAATTTATCCACAAACTTCTACACAAGAAGAAGAAAACACTTGCTATGGCCTTCTACTCCACATTCAGATATATCGACGATTTTTTATCAATTAACAATAGTAACTTTCATTTATATGTCGACTCGATATATCCGAGTGAACTTCAAATAAAAGACACCACAGAGTCTGCCACATCTGTTTCATAATTTGGATATTTTACTGACTAAGGCCTATAAAGGCCAACTAACATAAACAACTAAACTGTTTGACAAACTAGATGTCTTAAGCTTTTCCAGCATGAGGTTTCCTTATTTATATAATAATATTCCGTTATCACCTGCATATGGTGTTTACGTCTCCCAACTTATCCGATACTCAAGAGCATGCTCTGAGAACGATCAATTTTTTTTAAACCGAGGCAGACTACTGAGAGATAAGTTGATGTTACAGGGATTTCAACGATCTCGTTTAAAGCCAGCACTTCTTAAATCTCTGGTCGTCATAATGGCCTTGTTGGCAATTAAATATAACCTATTACTGGGTCTTATTTCGGCTGCGTGTTTCATATTAATTGTTAGGCCTTTTGTTTTTATACTAAATTTGACCACGAATATTCCGTCTAGCTCATCAATACAAAAGGCAAACGGTGGGTGTGACCGGTCGACGAGGGATGTTTATTCATCCAAGGCACCCGATCCCACCTCTGGAATTTCCGGGGGTTCTTTTTTGTGACCAGTTCACAGTTTTCTTTTGTTTGTAGATATTTTTTTAGATCGACCACTGTTCTTTATTCTCGCCTTTTTTTCTATATCTGTTATTCCAACAATGAAAAACAAGTCTTCATGCTTCTCATTAGTCATTCTGTGTAAAAAAAATTTATATAATTTGTTTACACGCAGCCTTTAATTAGTAATTAACGAGCTTCGCTCCTGAGCTTTTGAGCAGATTTTTGTCTTAACCTATATTTAAAAAATTCTGCATAATGTTTTAGTTCTTACAATAAATTTGGATTCTACAATACCAATTAAACTATATTCAGTTAAAACTCCATGATTAAATTCCATACCAAAAGCATTAAGTCGGGAACTTTATTTTGTGGCGGAATGTTTTTTTTTTTAAAGAAGAAAATGATCATTTTTTCTCTTTCAAAGTATTAAAGTATGTTAAGTTTGGATTCCTATTTTTACATGCAGTCTGCACACAGAGTTATTCTGTGCCGTGAACTATTTTATGCTGGTCCTAAATAATTTGATAAATAAACTATCATGAATTCTATCACCATTTTTGATAAATATAGCAAATATATTGTGAAAATCCAGAAAAAAATAGCCCTAATTTAAGCTTAAAATTAGCACTATTTTAGTAATATCTAAAAATTCACATCACAGACCCCCACTTTTAATTTTCTTTTCCGAGTATATAAGACACTTTTAACCATTCTTCTTAAATTAAGTAAAATGTCATTACTTTCAAAAGATTTTATTGCTTGATAAATATTTAATGCCAGAAAAAAGATAGTCTTGAGTGCAAAAAAGTCAAATAATTGAACATGCGAAGTAATTTGAAAATTTTTTGTTGTCACAAATTTTAATGCGTCTATTCAAGATGAAGTAAGACTGTGTTTGTGTTCCCATAATTTATTTGAATAAAAATATTGGAGGAAAACCTTTAAAAATTGATTTATGTTTAAGATGTATTTACAGTGCAAAAAGGTCAAACTAAATGCTCTGTAGCGCCAAAAGAAGTGCATTGACCCCCATTTTTTGTTTCGATTTTTAATTAAGCTATGTGTGTAGATTCTAAAAATCACTTATGTCGATACGATATATCCTTGTGAGCTTGAGATAAAAGATACCACAGAGTCTGACACATTTGTTTCATATTTGGATATTTTACCTGAAAAAGACGTTAATGGTAATCTAACATCCAAGCTTTATGATAAACGTGATGACTTTAAATTTTCAATCGTCAACTTCCCTTACTTACGCAGCAATATACCCTCATCACCTGCATACGGGGTATATATCTCTCAGTTGATTCGATACGCAAGAGCATGCTCTACGTATGTACAATTTCTAAAACGAGGTAAATTTTTGACAAACAAGTTGATGAAACAAGAATATCAGTTGTCTCGTTTAAAGTCATCATTTCGTAAGTTCTATGGTCGATACAATGACCTTGTCAGCAAATACAATTTATCATTGAGTCAAATGCTGACTGACGTTTTTCATACAAATTGTTAGGCCATTATTTACACACTGAATTGAAGACGGATTTTCCCGTTATTTCCCGATCATGACAAGGAGCACTCGGCGGATGTGACCGGTCGGCAGGGGATGCTCACTCCTCCATGGCACCTGACCCCACCTCTGATGTTTGGAGGTCCGTGTTTGCTCTGCTCCTATTTTGTATTGTTTGATGGACTGTTGAGCCTGAATACTGTTCGTTATTTATATATATTTCATTGATAAAAAAATTCTCATTACTGTTGATGACAGGATCCAACCTCCTTAAAAAAGGTTGTTTCCTTGTTTACATGTCAAAAAAATAGTTTAAGATCTTTAACGCACGTATTTTTGTTGATTGTTGATATTAGTGTGAAAGTTGCGACTGCCTTTTTTATTTGAAAAATTGAAGCGAGTTTTTCATTGATTTATTTAAGGAAAGACCACAGATTTGGAGTCTTAATCATTTTTAGCAGTTGAAATGTGTTTATTGAAAACTGACGTTATAGTACTTTCGCCGATAAATAGGAACAAGAAAAAGACTTTTTTAAAGAAAACACAGCTTACCTTATTATGAAATACAAAATATTTCTAATTCTGTAATTCATGTAAAATGGTTAAACCTGCTTGACAAATCGAATCGCTTGTGCTTTAGTAACATGTTATCTCGATTGGCGGAAGGATTTTTGTCTTTTAGATCAAACGGAAACCCACTGAGTTAATCTTCGCGATCCAAGGGTTTTCGGTCGGCTTCGAAAATGACTGAAGTTGTGTAGAATAAGATATCACTTTATGGAAAACAATATTATTAATAAACCTTTATTATTCTGATTTCATAATACAGTGAGCTAGGCTTGTGATCATAGTCGTTACTACTAAAGTACAGTTTGGAAGGCCATCTTTAAAATAATATTTGCTCGGCCCCTCCCGAATTAGGATTAGAAAAACTGGGTCGGTAGGTAGGTCGGAGAAAGTTTTTTCCTCAG